TCACAAAAACTTAAGAGCTAAGGATTAAGGGTACAATCAATGCCCATACCAGCCAGCTGACACATTGTCCTGTTAACCTCAGACTATTAGTTGAACAAAACATAACACCAGACAGAGTTTTTCAAAATATAATTTAAAATTATTTTGTACCAGTACAATATATTAATTTTACAAATGTAAAGTTTTTATCGGCTGTTAAAGCATTTGCAAAAACCACACATTCTACTTCAGCTTTATTGCACAATATCTATAAGAAAATATTAATTTTTAAATTAGAAAACATAAAAATGCTTTCAATATAGAAGAGATCATCTGATTTTAAAGACAATACTCTATAAGAATGTCTACCAAGGAAATACCAAACTTTCACAGGATATCAAGCTGGACAGATGCTTCAGCAAAATCTGGTTTTAAAACAGTCTGAGATACTTAATGCAATCTGTATCATCATTCTTCATTAAAAGTCTAACACTACTCAGAGTGTTCCTTGCAATTCAAAAAGTTGAGGCATCCTCAGAGTGGCCTTCAATGAACACTCTGAACATATAGAATACCTTCCAAGTCAGAAACAGCACTCAGTAGCATTTGCCAGGGTGTTTTCCTTCAAGAACACTACCTCTGCAAGCTGTTTTTAATGACTATTAGTAACCCATTATAATTTATGCTGATAGAAAACATACATTAAATACATTTTTTAAAACCTCAGCCTTTACAAAAAAATCAGTTTATAAATTTGCATCATAAGAATTAGTGTCGAGACCATTGAGATGGCCTTCATTTAATGTGGTTGTATATTAGTTGGTTTTTCCCAGAGTTGGGGTGGTAGGTGTCCCACTTTTCTATGTAGTGTGATCAGGGAATAAATCCAAGCACTAAGCTTGAGCCCCCAGACAGATTGGTTAATAAGATTGTTTAGTGGACAGACGTCAGTGGGATATAACTGTGGACCAATGACCAACGCAGATGTTAAAATACTGGCATAAACTTTGGTGAGAATTCAGTTCACCTCAGACAAACATATCTGGAAGTGCAAATGGGAAATATTCACACAGACATTGCTGATGGGGTTAAATGTACCAGAAAATACAAAGAACCCTTACCTATTTGGAGCAAGACTCTCCGGCATTCCTAAGTATTTAGGCTATGTGTCTTAACATTGACAAAACCTCCAATGTTTTCAAGTTGACACCTTTGTGGCCTAGGAAAGGATCTTTTAGAACTTAGAACCTGCACAAGCAAAGGCAAATATGAGATGGGTACATACCTGCCAAGAATTATTAAATAGTGCTTGTGCACTCCCAAGTCTGTGATAGGTAGACAGAATGATCAAAGTCCCGGGTACTTATAGAAAGTCCCGTCCTTAGGAGTCAAAGCAGCTGCTGTTGCGGAAGCTGCATTTTTCAGAACTGCTCAAAGCACCTCATCTAGATGAGTGTTTTAAAAATATATATTTGTAAAAGGTCTACAATTAGACTTGAAATATCACAAGGTTCACCTTGACAAGCGTATCATGGACCCTTTTCTTAAAGTCCTTCAGAATAAAATAAACTCTCATGTTACATTAGAAAAAAATGGAGACATTCATGGTCAAAATTTTCTCTAGATTCCCCTAAATCTCGGTACTGTGTGCAATTTCCTCACATACAGGTTTTGAGGAAGCCCCTGATCATCTACCATGCAATAGTTAGCTACTGGACATGCCAGAGAAAATTTACATGATAGATATGTAAATAGAGTAAAATCTATTGCACAAAATAAAAAAAATTTTCTATGATTTTCATTTAAATACGTCTCTGAAAAGCTAAAAAGAGGTTTTGCTTGTTTTTCAAAAGTGCTAATTATTACAAGTCTCTTCAACCCATGATGTACAATTCTTAAAAATAAACAACAACAACAAAAGCCCAAACCTAAACCACCTGCTTTAGGCACACTGCTGATGAGTGTCGAAGGAAAAGAAATCACTTGTCAATCAACCCTGCTTCCTTAATTTTACTGAAGAAGAACTTCTCCAGGATGCTGGCACATTTGTAGTACTCGCTCTCAGGAGGATTGTACTC